ATTCCTTGTAAGTCAGTGCCTTACCCTAAGAGTGCAAAATAACAGACAAGTTAGGCTCCTGCCTTGTGCTTCCTGAACTAACCTTGGACACAGCATAAGAGACAGGCAGTAAAGTCTAGTGAATACTCATGAGCAACTAAATATAAACATCAGAACCTGCTGAATCCCTGGAGGAGACTGACGACTGTTGACCTGGGACTTGTTTTTGGATGGAGCAGAGCGGACATGCAGGGCTCCGTGCTGAGGCCTGCATAGATGGCTCAGAACAGTATGAGTTGGAGGAATGTTTTAAATCTTCTGCCTCTACAGCACTGCCCAGTCTGAGGCAACACCTCATACCAGAAATGTCAATGGCCCAGGGGAAACATGAGGCCAGCAGGAAATTGGACAAAGTATGGTTCCAGAGATTGTGCTAATAAACACCCACACCCACACTGGTGGATGAGGACTGGCTTTTAAGAAACTGCTATTTAATAGAACACAAAGAATGAAAGAGAAATAGAAAAGAAATTATAGCCATGAATCATGCATTGTAACCATAGCTATTCTGTGATCAAATATGTGTCTCTTTTCTTCTGCCCCGGGGAACCCTGGAAACGAGATTCTTCCTGTGAGGTGAACATTCTTAGGTGCATGGAGCACAGGGGTCTAGGCTGTGTTGAGAACCAAAGTGAATACTGCTGGGATAGATAAAGTGACCTAGAGAATTCAGTTCTTCCCATCTTGTCACACCCCAGGCACAGTGCTCAATGTCATATCTACTGCCCGTTCCCTCTTGTTGTCAGAACAATGACCTTGTTCTGAGGTGGGAGCATCCGATGATGGGAGCAGAGAGGCCCCAGCTCTGTTAGGGAGTGAGGGGAGAGCAGAATGGGGAGTGCGGAAGCCCTATGACAGAGAGAGTGTCACTAAATAATCCAGACATGCTGTTCTGTCATTCCTGCCCTGCCAGGAAGGATTTTCAAGTGAGACCACATTGCCACTCAGGGGAGCTTGAAATTCAGGCTCTGTGTCTGAGGGGAACAGATTCACGTCCATGGAGGATGGGAGTCGAGGCTTTGCCTTTAACCAAGTTAATGATCCCTAGCCAGGATGGAAGGACAAGGAGACTCCCCTTCCACCCCTGCTGTCAAAGCCCAGGCATGTTGCTGGATGTGGGGTCCACTGACAGCACAGCATTAGGTTAGAGCAACAGGAGAGGCCATTTTTAGGTTCAGGCTTCATGTTAGAGGAGAACAGTTGAGTTTCATTTACAGGTAAGAGTGATGGGCTATGTGTGGAATAGTGATGTCCCAACTCATAGAAACATCCTTCAAGCATTCAGGATCATCCTCTCTTATCAGCCCTGGACCTCACAGGGGCTGATTTGTTACAATGAGCTTCAGCCTCAGTGCTCCCTGTGAGATAAAGCCTAGCACTCTGGGAACAGAATCAAGTCAGTGGGGGACTGGGGAACAGCTTCTAGCAGAAACAAGTGTGTTGATCCCTAAGATGGAAGGAGGAGCCTGAAGAATTGTTTTCTGCTCCTGCTATCAGACCTAGGAGACCCTATGTACTTTCCAGGTTTTGAAATCCACGAAGTGCTACTGCTCTGGGTCAGAACAAAGGGAAGTGCACTTCTGAACTGTGTGCTTCAAGTGAGCAATGTAGAGAAGCCCGGCTCAGGTAGATGTCACAATGACCGGCGGTGGGGGGACTGATGATGCCAAACTAAGGAGAGAGCTTTCTTGAAGAATCTAGATTTACCATGCTCTTAGCCTTGCACTTCTGGGAAGGATTCTCTGGTAAGGTCTCAAATTTGCCTCAGGGGATAGAAAGTGAGAGTGAGAGCCTTGTGCTGAGGGCCTGGCTTCCAGAGGGTGGAGTGGACAGGACCTGGGCCCAGTAAAGTCAAGTTGAATGCTGTGTGAAAAGTGAGGAAGTGACAGCCCAGGGAGCGAGTCCCAGAACATTCTAGAACTTCCTCTGTTGCCTGTATTGCATCAGTAGATACAGAATTCTCAGAAGAGTGTATCCTTTCTCCTCACCGTCCCCTGAGAGGGTATGTGAGCCTTGTACTGAGGGCTGCCCTGCAGTTTACAGGAGCAGAGAGAGGCCGAGATCAGTTAACTCAAGGTGAGGAGCTGTTGGTGGTACTGAGGACTCTCCACCCATTAAGATAATCAGAGAATGTTCTAGAAAAGCCTCTTTTGTGGGACCTGCACCTCATAGTACAGAAATCTCTGGAAAACACCCCCTTTCTTCTCAATGGGAACTGAGAGTCAGAGGTCTTTAACAAAGGACTTTGCTGGATGTGGGAGGAACAAAATATCTGGGGTGAGGTAGATAAAAGGAGGCCTGCATCAGGGGAATAATGTCTCAGGGGAGCACCCCTTCCCCTCAGGGCAGCCCCCCTTCCCCTCAGGGCACCAGGAGAGTAGGGTCAGAACCTGCCTCTGAGGACTGTGCTTCAGGTGGGAGGAGCAGAGGGGACCTGGGCTAGGTTAACTCAAGATAAGGCCCTGAGAGCACATTGACGAAACCCCAAGCCAGGGAGAGGGTCCCCAAAGAACCCAGATCCCTCTCTGTTACAGCCCAGCACCCTGTGGGTAACAATTTTCAGTATATCACCCCCTTTTGCAAGAGGGCACCAGGAGAGGAGAAACAGAGCCTTGCTTTGAGACCTGTGCTTCAGGTCTAGGCAGCAGAGAGGACTGGTCATAGGTAGCTCACAGTGAGAGGAAGTGGGCCACTATTGCATTTTGATGTTAGTTTCATGCATGAGTGCTATGGGTCTGCTTTCCACTTTTTATATGTAGACAGCAAATTTTCCCTGCCTCTGATGTCTAAGGGGCAAGCTTCCTACAGGGAAAGTATTGGCCTCTTATCTAAGATCAGGTAGCTGAGGCTGCTTGGTGTTGTTTCAGTATCCTGTGCTGTGTTCCATTCATCCAGAAGTCTGTTTGAGCCAGGACATGCTCCTTTTGTTCATATATACTAGTGCAGTTTTGTGATATTTCCTGCCTTGTCCTTGTTGCCCGGGATTGCTTTCTTTTCTAGTTGCTTTTTCGTCTAGTTCTTTTCAGGTTCCATTTGAATTTTCAGTTTGTATTTTACACTTCGGTGAGGAATGTTAGTGGAATTTCCATTGGGATCGTGTTAAATTTTTGCAGTAGTCGTTTTAAACTCATGACTATTTTGATCATATTCATTCTGTCTGTCCAGGAAAGGGATATCTTTCCACTTCCTGGTAGCATCTTCCATGTCATTTTTCAGAATACTGTAGTTTTCATTGCACAATTCTTTCACTTCCAGGGATAGATTAATTTTGAAGAATTTTATTTTTCTTCTTTTTGCTGTGAAAGATATTATTATTACCCTCATTTCCTCCTCAAATAGTTTATTGCTGGTGTACAAGACATTACTGATTTTTGCTCGTTAACATTGTAACCTGATATATTACTCAATTTGGCTATTAATTTTCAGTTTTGCACTGGCTTTCTTGGGGTCTTCTATATAGAGAATCCTGTCATCTCCAAATAATAATTTTATTCTTTCTTTCCTATAAATATGTCTTTAATTTCTTTCATTTGCCCTAATTTTCTGACTAATGTGGTGAGATCTGTATCAAACTAGAATGTGACAGTGGACATTGTTGTCTTGTTCCTGAGTGTAGAGGGAAACTCTTCCATTTCTCACCATTTAGTATGAATTTAACCATTGGTTTCTCATAGATGACATTTATGAGATTGAGATGTGGTTTTGCTCTACTTATTTTATCTGCATTCTCATCATGAATGGACATTTGTCAAGTGTTTGTTAAGCACCTATTATGATGATTGTGAATATTTTGGTATTTGCATCTGTTTATGGTGTGTATTATATTTTTGATTTGGGCATATTGAGTCATCCCTACATCTCTGAAATGAATCCTAGTGGATCATGATGTATGATCTTCTAGAGAATTTGGTGCATTCTGTTTGCCAGTGTTTTATGGATGATAGTTGCATCTATGTTCATTAAAAAAGATTGGCCTATAGCTTTCTTTTTTGGCTCTATCATTTTCTGGTTTCTAATCAGGCTAATGCTTGCTTTGAAGAATCACTTTGGCAGTACCACTTCCCTTTCAATATCTCTGACAAATTTGAGGTTCATTATCATTAGATTATCTCTAGTGTTCCTGACACATTTTGCAGGAGATCTGAGTGTATGTACATGCACATGTACATGTATATGTATGTATCCTTTAAGACATAGACTGATACTAGGTTATTCAAAAGTTTCATGTCCTGTTTCTTCTGGCCACAGTTTCAATACACTTTTCAATCTCTTGAATTTCTGGCTGAAATCTATCCATGGACTGTAATTCTTTGTTAAAGTGTTCACTCACGCTGTGTATAGTTTTGTTTAGCTCAGCTGGCTTTTTGTTACAGTCTTCTGACAGGTCCTTGATCATTTTTGTTATTACTTCCATTTCCTGATTAGATGCATATTCTGTGATTTAGCCAGGCACTCTTTGATGAATTTTCAAACCTCTTCTGTAATCTTTCCATATATTTGGGTATGTGGCTTATGCTATTCTCCTCCCCAATGCCCAGTGGATTGGCTTTGGGGGAGTTGTGACTTTGGGGAAGAATTAGCTTGCCTTCTGCTTTCATGTTTCGCTTATTTTTTGTTTCTTTTGTTTTCTGCTGAAGTTTTCGGCACTTAGAATGGAAAGACATTGTTACTATTATAGAGATCTCCTTAGCTACTCTGCTTTTCAGGTAAGTACTCTGGCATAGATAAGTATAGTCCTTTGTTCTGCCCTAAGATCTGAACAACCTTGAGGACAGTTATGGGACATGCAAGTGTCAAGTAAATCAGCTACAGTGGTATCACTCAAAAAAATTAGATATTAACATGCAAACACATCAAAATAGGTAAAATTTTTAAAAGAATAGCAATCCACAATTTTAGTGTACACATTACTACAACCCAGATATTTATATACAGCTAATATGAACTAAATTTAACAGCTACAGCTTTTCCAATAGTGAAAAAAATTTTAGCAGTAGTTTTTTAGAATTAACTAACTTTATGAAGATTAATGCAGCTTAATGTTAATACTATTAAAGATACGGTGGGCTGGGGAAGGAGGAATGCAAGAAAAAAATGTAAAGGCTTACAAGAAAGGATATGAGAAGGAGGAGAGGGAAGTAGGTTGAATGATCTTATGCAGGACTAGAAGAATGTTTATGGAATTAGGTAAATTTAATGAAAAATGCGTGTAAAAATTGAAGATAACAGAAATTGGGGAATAAAAATAATGAAAGATGAAAAAGCAGTGAGAAGACATTAGTAATACATTAGTAAAAGTTGAGGGTCACTAGGAAGGGTGAGGGTCCCTAGGGCAGGGTGAGGGGACTCGGTGGCCCGGCTACCAACTTACTATCAAATACCAGGTACTTCACTGGGTGTGGGGTCCCCTGACTGTGCCTCATTAGGTTAGAAGGACAAGAGGGCCTGTTGTGAGGTACAGGCTTCTGGGGAGAGGAGTAGAACAGGTGCGGCTCAGTTGAGGGTCAAGGTGATTGGCTTTGGGCATAGTAGACATTGACCAACTCAGAGTGTCCTCAAGCTACTCAGATCTTTCTCTTGTGGCAAAATGAGATGCATGCACCTCTCCTCTGAAACACAGTGTCATTGCCAAGCATGTTACTCTCAGTTTCACTCAGGAATTGATGAGGCAGAGGTATAAATACAAGTAAATGGTGTATTTTGAGAAAAGATGCGAAAGAACAAAGGTAGTCAGCTACCCTGGGGAAGTAGAGTAGGGGTCATCAGAAGTGAAATATCTATGGATTTTTGTCTTCAACTCCTTTTTATTTAGGCACAGTGATTCCTCCCCCTCCAGGGAGGAACCTCGAAGTTTTGTCATCTCATTGGTTCTCTGGCTGTTTTTGATGCTAACCAGAGCATGTTCTATCTATATATTTTCTGGTCCTTTGATTTTTCCTGTTCCTTTGTGATGGAAAAGTGGCGGGGGGCACATTATACAAAGGTAACTTAGATTTCATGATTAAGTAAAGGAGACACGTGCATTTTAGATATTAAATAAGAGCCCTTCGACTGCTCCTCCATATCTAAATTGCATTTTATGGGAGGAAATAGTTACACTGGATTTTCAAATTCCTGGCGATATCCCTCCTTTGCCTACTCATTCTTCTCAAGATATTCTGTTACCTGTGTAACCTGGCACCTTCTGGGGTTCTCTCTCCCTCTCTCTCTCTTCCTCTTTGTCTCTCTCTCCCTCTCTCTTTCTCTCTGTCTCTCTCTCTCCCTTCCTCCCTACATCCCTCCCTTTGTCCTCTTTCTGTTTTTCTCAATGCATGAGTCTAACTGCAGAGAGAAAAGCTATCTTTGTTAAGGTTTCCTATTAGCTTTTTGAATCAAGCTTAATGAGATCCTATTGTATTCTTTTTTCATGACTATGAACTCCTGTCTCTGCACTCTCCTGTCAACCCTTGACCACATAGAGGCTGATTTGTTAAAATGAGCTTCAGCCTAAGGGGTCCCCATGAAATAGAATTTTGGAGAGTGGGGATTAGAATCAGGTCCACAGTTGACTGGGCTACTAGCTCTGCCAGGAGCCAAGGTGTTGATCCCTAGGAAGGAGAAACAGCCAGGAGAATTCCTTTCTACACTGCTGTCAAGCCTCGGAGACCCTTTGCATGTTACAAG